AGTGAACTCTCAAAGTGAACTTTGTCTGTTTTTTTATACTGGATCCACTGTAAAAAATAAATATATAGGATATTTGCTTTGAATTAAGAAAAACCTTATGTTTTATAATTAAAGGACAGTCTTGCCAATGAGTTACAAGAACTTGTGTCTGTGATTTAACATATTTAAGCCTTACAATTTCGGCCCAAAGAGTGGTGCTCACAAATTTCTTTCATTTACTACAGCAACATTTCTTCATTATGAAGAAAACAACTGAGGCGTACTGTTGAAATTGCACTTCTTTGTCTTATATCAAGCTACAGTATGTCAAGGATTAAATGTGTCATTAAGCTTCTTTTCACTGAAAAAAGGGGAGTTTCACTTGTCCAGTCCACTTAAGCTCAAACTGGACTGCATGTGGCCCACAATGTAAAATGAGTTTAAAATCCTTGATATAAAGTAAATAACTTAGCAGTAGATTAGAAAGGTGATTAAGTCAAATTCAACTTCTATTCTGCCTGCAACCATTAAATATCTGCAAGCCGCTTAGCAACCCACTTCCTTTTATGTTTACAAACCCCTAACCCTAATCAGTGTCCCTGATACGTGTTCTGCTCAGTGTCTTGCTGCTGCTTTCACTACATCCTTTATAAAAGCACATGCAAAGGCGGGGAGGTCCCGCTCCACAGCCATGCTGTTAAAAACCAGTTAATGGAAAATGTATCTTGTCAACTTTAGTGGTCAACATTTCTTATGAAAGATACATTTGTGACTCATTTGTTCTGATAGTGTTTAGTGCACATAACTGGGAGTAAAGGAAATAGAATAGAATAGAATAGAATAGAATTCAACTTTGATTAAAAGAACCAAAATGTACTGATGGTGAATATTTCTGATTTCTGCAAAAAAAAAAAGGATGTTCGCCAGGAGAACAGTTTTCTAATGCCAGAAAATTCCTTACTGTTTCCAAATTAATAATAATAAAAAAAATGTATCCCCATTCATTAGGTAACAGAATAGGTCCTTAAAGCAAAGAGTTACATGAATAAATATCTCAGGCAATTATGAAAAAAAAGGTCATTTATTTCTTTGTGTTGTTTGTTGGCTACTAAAAGTAAGTCTCCATATTCTGGAGGTGTGATGATAACGCTGCTTGGGAATGTTCCTCCTCACGTCACGTCATGATGGAAAAGACAATCCCTCCAGGGGTCAGAAATCTGTCAGGTCGCCAAGGTCAAGGCTCTGACCTGTTGTTTTGCTGCTATCAGTTTACTACGTGAGGCTTCTGAGAACCATTAAAAAAAAGAAAAGGCGAGTGAAACCATTGATTAAAAGAACCAAAAGAGTTGATTAATCCGACCGAATTTACGTCATTTGAACAGACCAGGATGGTCACGACGCGCTTGTTGTTGCTTAGTTTTGATTACCTGCAATCAGTGTAATCAAACTCATCACTTAATTTCCTTGTTTGCGGTGTTTGTCAGTCCACTGCTACAATAAACAACCTGTTGAGGCAGAGCCAAAGTATAAATACCAGAACATCTATTTGCAGTAAATCAGTGTTATTTACTACTCCATTCACGCACCTTTGTTTCTGCAGAGGCGGCAGTGACGTGTTCAGGGAGTCAGATAAAGGGTATTTCTCACCAACTCTTTCCTGTTATTTTCCAGGGTCCTTTGTTTGGTTGCGGGACCTCGGCCGGTCGGTTCTCAGGGGAATGAGAGGAACATTTGAGCCTAAGCACTTGAATGTGTGAATGCTCACTGCCTTCACACACAGACTGTCCCATACCTGTATGTATGTGTGTGTGTTTGTGTGTGTGTTTGTGTGTGTCACCTTGTCCTTGGACTGACAACCAACATCCATGCAGTGTAATTTGTGTCTTTTTCAGGAAACTTCATCCTTTCTGCTTTTTATGGCTATTGATCAAGGAAATGTGAGGATCGGGAAATCATGAATGTTCCTGTAAATAATAATAATACAGATATGCTGATACACCCCTGTTCATCATATTTATGATTTAGTAACAAATTCAGACTGGCCACATTTTAATTCTGTCGTTGTGTTTAGAGGTGAAGCGTTGATTGAAACGATAATATAATGGACGCAAAGCATTCTCTAACTAGCTCCCAAAACAAGGACAGGGCATGTGCAGTTGTGTGTCACGTATAAATTCCAGAGCTTTCGGAGTGTCACTTGAAAAACCCCATGCTTTTAAATTCCTGTCTTGGGCAGACACAACAACAACAGGAAGAAGGACCATTTTCACAGGTGTCAGGAAGCACAGGAAATAAACAAGCTGAATACTGGAAAACATTTTTGTACCAGTAAGAGTCAGAGGTGAGGCTAATAAGAGTTATTTTTAGCTCGGCCAGTATTTTCTTGAAATTTTTTTATTGTCCTGGATCTTCTGTAGTTATTTTTTTTTTAATCTCCAGCAGAGTTTCTATACGTTAATGCTGCCTTATGAAGGATTACATATGATAAGTATCTAATCAAGTGCCACATGTAATGAATGATCATTAATGCCATGAGGATTCCTTAAGATTTTAAAGAGAATTAATTTAAATTTTCATTGAACTGTCATAAGTGTTATTAAACACACACACACACACACACACACACACACACACACACACACACATATATATATATATATATATATATATACACACACATAAAATATATATGTATATGACTACTTTGACATTTATCTCCGAGTATTGCATTATTGTTTTCAAA